TTTTTTTTTTTTTTTTTTTTTTTTCTAGAAGAAACAAAACCTTCGACGCTGTGATTATAGAACAGTTGTGGTACCAGTGCTACTACGCCCTCGTCAAACATTACAATTCGCCGGTTCTAATCGGATTTTTGAGCGTCGGCAATCTTCCCTACGTGATGGACTCGGTTGGTAAGCGTAACACTTCAATAAATAATATAAAAAAACAAAAGGAAAAAGAAAAAGAAAAAGAAAAGGGAAAAAGTTAATCGAAACGACAAAATTCGAATGCTGGAGTAACAGCAGTCTAACGATCCGACAATCGTTGTGCTCGCTTTCTCTACGGTTTTTGTGCCCTGCTCGGTCGGAATGTCGTTAGTGAGCCGGAAATTGACGTAAATTGTCGATAAAGTAGAAAATGCGAGCAATCGGAGGTGACCACGCGTCGTAGAAAAGAATGGAATGACCCGATAGTGCTTTAACTTGTACCGATTTCGTATCAGATGAGAATTAAGGAGATACACTATCCGACTATTCTTATTTTTAGGGAATCCGGACGATCCCCTGTTGAATCCCGACATGGCTTATCCTTTCACCAACAAAATGAGCCTGAACGAGCGTATTTGGAATATCCTCTACACAACGTGGACCAGGATATATTATAAATACTGGCATTTGCCTAGGGCGCAGATGATCGTTAACAAATGGATGCCTGACGTTTCGATCGAGGACATCGATAGAAACTTCAGTCTAGTGATATTGGGAAACAATCACGTATTCGGATATCCGAAACCGCTGCTGCCAAATGTGATCGAGGTTCATAGCCTTCAAATCACGGAGAAAAGCGAAACTTTACCCAAGGTAAATCGATCGAAATTTTCTAAAATTTCTTCTAAATTTCTCCATCGAACTAAAATCGTAAGAGCTCGATAATGAATCGACGCTCGCACACGTTTCATAACGTTTCCAATTCACGAATTCTCCTCCCCCTTTCTACTTATATTCGCGAGATATAAAATAAGACCGCGGTTTGATTCATCGATCGTCCGAAGAATGGATCAACGGACGATATTGCGAAACTTATATTCAGTCAACGATTACAAGTATTACTCCTTGCGGGACGCGGCAACGTTATTTCACGCAGTTTTACCACGGCAGGGGATTGAACGCGAGCAAGGAGAATGATTTCTCCGGGGGAAAATACATAGCGCTCTCGCAGGGTAACCGATATAGGGGAAAGTTTACCTACGGCTCGACATTGCGACGCGAAAGTAAAGGTCATTGCTATTTACCCTCGCTCTACCCTCCACCCACGTGACTACGGGGGAAAATATTTTTCCACAGGTATTTTCCAGCCTCCCTCGTTTTGTTTCCCCAAGACAACAGATATCTTTCAACAGATCTTTTCTTTCGCCACCGACGATTCTTTCCGTTTTGCCCAAAACTAACTAACTCGTCGCGCATCGATCACCACTCGTGGTGAATCGAGACATCGATCAAAATTATACATCCGTCCGAACAACGTTCGTCCAACATGTTTTACACCGATATCCTCCGAAATGGAATTGCGCCCGTGTCACGTGGAATTAATGCGAGACATGAGACGCAAAACGTGATCGCTGTGCCACGTGCGCGTCCACTTCGCAGGAGAAACTTGCGGTTCTGCGCAATTAATGTGCAACAACGTCTTGTATTCCACGTGAACTGTATATACTGTACAACTTGATACGAATATTCGAACCATTTATATCTCGTTTCTCTTTATATTGTAAAATAAAATCGATCAAACCGAGCAAATACGCGACGATAAAAATAAAAGATGGGTTTTTAGAATATAATTCTTCTTCCTTGAGTCTATATTTTAATATTGGGTGTTTTTGGAAGCTGGAATACGTTTCACTTTCGTATATCGTTCTCAAGAGTTAAGAAATTATCGTGTTCTTGATCGCAGGACATTCAAGAATTCCTAGACAAAGCGGAGCACGGGGCGATCTATTTCTCCCTAGGCTCGAATCTGCAAACTCATCAGTTGTCAATCGCCTCTTTGACCGCATTGTACAAGGCGCTCGGCTCTCTCAAGCAAAGAGTTCTATGGAAACACGGCGAAGACGTGGCCATTCATCCAGCCAACATCAAATTTGTGAAGTGGGCACCCCAGCAAGCGATTCTCGGTAAGGTCATCCAAGGCTAACCCTCCGCTTCCACGCGGCTCCTTTGAACGGAACATAGATTGACCGCTTCGGGATACGTTCGTTTTATTAGGCCGCCTCTTGGAAATCGTTCACGTGAACATACGAGAATCGTTATTATCCGAACGATGAAACGCCTCGATCCCCGTTAATGTGGCAATAAAAATGAAACGACACGGCTTA